CCTTATAGGACTCACAGTGCTGTGATATACGGCAACTGTACAGTATTTTAGAGGAGCTGTTTGCCAAATGTAAAGGAAGGCTTCTTGCCCGAGGACTTCCTTCTGTTGCTATTGATACACACGTCTGCAAAGGTTTGTTACATGCCACCAAAAGGATTAAAGCTTAACATAAGAAATATTACTGCAGAGATGCTGGAGACAGCAGCCACAGGGCAATAACGTAGCCACGCCAGCTACGCCAGCTACGTCCTACTGCAAGCAGCTTGGATTTTAATGCATGAGGCTTTTGCCTCTCCGAACAACGTAGTGCAAACAACAAAGGCACTTCCATGGGGAAATGTTCTGCGAGTCCATGGCATTGCTGGCCTGCCAAGTACTGGCTGTAGACCTCAAAGTGGCCAGTACTTGGATGCACCTGAAAAATCTTTAGACAAGACGATCGCTGTGATATGTAATAAAAATACTGAGTCGTCCCTCCCTGCCCCTCTTCCTGCTGGCATTTCCCGAGAAAGAGAGGCTCCTTGGGCCAGGGTGTAACTGTATGGCCCCCTATACCCAGAGGCTACCCCTGATCACCCACCTTGCAAGAGCCCCTGGAGCAGACTGCCTGACAGTGGTGGGGGGGAGGAGAAGGGGCCACGGCCAAGATGCTCCACACCTGGTTATCCCCAGCTGCTGGAATGCCCATATGGGCAATTATTACCTGGACACAGACCTCGGAGTGAGGGAGCAAGCACATTGTCTCCCCCTCAGTCCCTGCACTGACACAGTGGGGAATTCTCCGCCCCACCCCAGAGAGGTTAAGCAGTCCCTACACTGGAGCTCAGGATTTCCTCAGACCATTAGGCCAAGTGCTAGTTAGGTGCAGTGTCGGTCGCAGGCATGGTTGAAATGGCTTTGACCTGGCCTATGGTAGCACTTAGATGGCTTTCCCCATTGGCTCAGTTGGGAACACGTGCTGAAAGCCCGTCAGATTTCCTGGCATGCCTGCACGGCTGGGGAGTTTTTGCTGAGTTTGCCAATCTGACTCATTCCCATGGAGAGAGGACTGGTTGTAACAGGATTTAGCAGGACTAGATTATCTGTCAAGGATTAAACCCTACCAGGAGACAGCATTATGGAGAGATTATTTTGTGATATATATATATATATATATATATATAAATTCACTGAAGGAGATCACAGGATTATCCTGCAACAAGATTCATTTATGGCGAGACAATGATGGACAATCGGGGAAGGGGCCAATGCCATCTTAACATGTGCTCTCCAATGTGGAATCATCCAAGTATATATGATCGTCCACTGTGGGCTCTGGGAGGGAAAAGCATACAAGATACCAATGATGCCTCCCTCAGTTTGAGAGAAAAACTTCTGGAGAAGATCAGGTCAAAGGTCATTAATTTATAGGTAGTTTCTTAACTGACCCTAATTTCTGAAGCATTATTAGCCTTCTAACACAGTCATCCAGTAGATGGAAGCCAGGGCTTGGGAGACGAGCAGCATCTAAATGGAGATTTGCAGTGAGTCCAGCTCTTTTCACTTTCCAGAAAGATGGTGGCAGGACTGGTTGGGAATATTTTAGCTCTGCATAGAAAGGGTATTTCTGCCTTACGGCCTATGAGAGAAGAAGAAAAACAGAGAAGGGAAGAAAGAGAAAAATAAGAAGAAGAAAAAAAAGAGCTGATCCCCCAAAGCTAAGAATGGTTTCTGGAAATTCATGGGTGGGAATGAGGTGAAGAAAACACGTTGATTTGAATCCCCCTGATACAAACCTGCCTCTAAAGCTTTGGTTCTTGGTCAGTCCAAAACCCAAAGTGGCCTTTGGCATTCTAGAGTGAGGGCATGCTATGGGCAAGATGGCAGAGATCCTCCTAAGAAACTGGATCTTAGTGGCATTAAATCTGAACAGGAACCCAAACTGAACCAAAGCCAGATTCAGACACTGTTTCTTCACCTTTGTCCTAGTTAAAACAGGAGAGTTACTCTTTATTCACTTGCTGGAGGATTCTCTGCTCCTTGAAGTCTTTAAACTACGATTTGAGGACTTCAATAGCACAGATATAGGTGTGAGGTTTTTTGCAGGAGTGGTGGGTGAAATTCTGTGGCCTGCGTTGTGCAGGAGGTCAGACTAGATGATCATAATGGTCCCTTCTGACCTAAATATCTATGAATCTATTCCAAGTCTCTCTTTCTCAGTAACAGGCTCAGAGAAGTATTCAGGCAAAGGAGAAAGCAGTCCCAATGGCTAATTGAGAACCAAACCTACAAATCAAAGAGCTCTGTGCAATCACCATTATGTTCTGGAGTTGCATGTAGTTACCCACCTCTGGGACTCTCATCTGGGACTGCATCCGCCCTGCTAAGTGGGACAGGGGTCCTGATATGGAAAAAAGCAAACATGGTACAGAAGAGCTTAAGAACGAGTGTTACACAGCACCCATCCGACACAAAATTATGGTTGAAACCTTACCTCTTCTATACCATTGGTTTCAAAGGGAGTTAGGCACTTATATACCTCTGAGGATCTGGGCCTATGAGTCTTCAGGGTTAGTATAGCTCACGAAAGACCAGTCTCAACATTCCACAAAAGTATTACCCTGCAGCCAGAGCCATTTTCAGGTCATATTTCCTTGTGATTTCTCAGTGTGCCTACTGTGCATTTCAAAGAATAAGGGGGTGGGGGAAGATACAGGATTCTACAAATGGGATACAGGATGGGCAAAATGGGATCCCATGCAAATTAGCTGGGTTCAATTCAAGAGGCTATACAAATTGTGTGGGGAAGGGAAGAAGTGGATTTTAGGGGGTGTTTACGTTTTATCTGAAAAATATTTTGGTGCCTGAAACCTCTCTCTCTCCAGGGAATGCATCCGATGAAGTGAGCTGTAGCTCACGAAAGCTTATGCTCAGATAAATTTGTTAGTCTCTGAGGTGCCACAAGTCCTCCTTTGCTTTTTCCAGTCAGTCTGTGGCTCTTATTTTTTAGCCATGTTATAGAGGGCATAATAGCAAATCATGCCTATTTAGAAACAGATTTCCATTTTTAATAAAGCCCAGCTCTGTATCCCTTTTCACATGCTGAGCAACCTGGGAACAAGAATGACTCCGCGTGAGTAAGGCTTACAGATTCTGTCCCATGCTGATTTTAAGATGATACTTTCCACAGAAAGGCTGCTTCGCACCCTGTACTTTTCAAATTGCTGCCGTCCATCTTTTAACAAAGAATCAGTTACAGCAAATCCTTCCATTCTTGCGTATAAATGGATGATCTGCATTTCTTCAGCCTCATGCACGAACCCTGAAGTCACACTCGAACAGCACAGTGAGGTACTGGATCTCTGCCACCTTTCAGACTGTAGAACGCCACCTTCCAAGTAATGCAATCAAAACAATCCATCTAAAAGCATTTCATTTGGGATGGATTGATGTGAATTGTTTAGAAAAAAGCTAAAGCTCTGTGGGACAACTAATGGGTGCTTATTAGGACAGCCAATGAACTATTCAATCAACTATACAGGGAAACTAATGGGGACTGGTAGGCAAAAGACTTGGTGAGGACTTACCTCTTTAAATAAAGCACAGAGGGTCTGGTGATTGGATTAATCAGTTTTAATTTTCATTGCTACCCCAATCATGGCAGTGTGGCCTACCGGGCACAGCACAGGACTAGAACTCAGGACAGCTGGGTTCTAATCCTGCCCTGTTGGGTGATCTTGGACAAGTCACTTCATTGCTCTGTGTCTCAGTTTCCCCATCTGTAAAACGGGGATAATGATACCCAATTCCTTTATAAAGTGCTTTGAGACCTACTGATAAAAAGCACCATCTAAAAGCTAGGTATTATTCACATACTGCACTCTGGTTTGTTTCACTTGCAGGTTGGGAAATACTGCCCATCAACTTTCCAAATCTGACTCATTTGGAAGATTCCTCATTAATTATCAGGCAGACTCTAAAGTCTAGCACTGCCACCAGGAAGGGCTTGGCAAAGGGTGTCATCTGTAAAGTTCTTTTAGATGAAAGCCCTATGTAAAGACAAGAGATTAACATGAGACAGGGAAAACCTCCCTGAGGGCGGAGACCCCCCACTCTTTACCATACTAGGTTAAGACCAACCTTGAAACCATCCCCACAATCCCCTGAACAAAAGCAGGCAAATAATTACACCCACCCTCTAGAAACAAAAAGCACTTCTTAATCAGTTTTCCCCCCATACCTTTAGATAGTCACAGCAGAGGGGACTCTGGAGATATCGCAGAATAATTTACAACTGTGGCAGTGAAGTGAGCTGACAGGGAAGGGAAAGGCTAGTTTCTCTTAAGAAGTAAGGGCCTGAAATTTGCAATTTGGAAGTGGGAAATACCCACCTCTGAACCAGCTCTTTAACTTACTTTTAGCATTGTACCACTGGCAGCTGATGTGGGGCCCTTCCGAGATGCACCCTGCAGAGGGTGAGTGAACAGATGGAAGCAATAGCTGCTGATTCCAGGTCATAACCCTCCGCACCTCTCCCTAACGCAAGCCAGGTGCATCAGGCACTGAGTAGCTTCTTCCCTGGACAAATGTCAGTGAACCAGTAGGCTCACCAAGAGACACCAATGAATGACTGCATCCTGCCCCATTCAGGGGCATGGCCATGTTTCCCTTAAATATGCCCCATACTGCAGGGGGAACCTCCTATCCAGCCAGCAGCAGTGCATCTCTGAGCTTCTGCTGTTGCAGTCATTCTCCCGGCTAACTCACTATAGCTGATGACAGGTTTCAGAGTAACAGCCGTGTTAGTCTGTATTCGCAAAAAGAAAAGGAGGACTTGTGGCACCTTAGAGACTAACCAATTTATTTGAGCATGAGCTTTCGTGAGCTACAGCTCACTTCATCGGATGCATACCGTGGAAACTGCAGCAGACTTTATATACACACAGAGAATATGAAACAATACCTCCTCCCACCCCACTGTCCTGCTGGTAATAGCTGCCACAAGTACTCCTTTTCTTATAGCTGATGAAGAGCTTGCTGCTCTGGTAATTGATAATGGCTCTGGTATGTGCAAAGCTGGCTTTGATGGGGATGATGCTCCCTGGGCTGTCTTCCCCTTCATTGTGGGGCACCCCAGGCACCACGGGGTCATGGTGGGGATGGGCCAGAAGGGCAGCTATGTGGGAGATGAAGCCCAGAGCAAGAGGGACATCCTGACCTTGAAGTATCCCACTGAGCATGGCATGGTCACCAAGTGGGATGACATGGAGAAGATCTGGCACCACACCTTCTACAATGAACTCCTGGTGGCCCCCAAAGAGCACTCTGTCCTACTCATGGAAGCCCCCTTGAACCCTAAAGCTAATAGGGAGAAGATGACTCGGATCACATGTGATACCTCTAGTGCCCCAGCTATGTATATAGCCACCTGGGCTGTGCTGTCCCTGTATATGTCTGGCCATCCCGCCAGCATTGTCATGGACTCTGGGAATGGTGTCCCCCACACTGTGCCCATCTATGAAGGCTGTGCCTTGCCCCATGCCATCCTGCACCTGGACTTGGCCGTCCGTGATCTGATCGACTTCCTCATGAAGATCCTTACCAAGAGAGGGTACAGCTTCACCACCATGGCTGAGAGGGAAATTGTGCGAGATGTCAAGGAAAAACTGTACTCTGTCACCCTGGACTTTGAGGTGGAGATGGCCATGGCTGCTTCATCTTCCTCCTTGGAGAAGAGCTATGAGCTACCTGATGGCCAGGTGATCGCTATTGGGAATGAGAGGTTCAGCCATTGTCCACTGTAAATGCTTCTAAATAAACTACCTGCAAGTGTATCCACACAACTGGAATAGTTCTGGTTCAAATAAAAACCCTTGCCAAGTTTCTGAGACTGATACTGAAGCTATCTGAAGGACACTACTTTGTTCATGTTAAATCTCCAAGGTTGGTCTAAGCTTCAGGAGAATCACACCATGTAAAGCTGTCTGCTTGCATCATTGCTAACTGGGACAGTCCACTATGTGATCTAAAATTGAAATGAGACTTTTTTTGGTGTGTGTGGGGGGAGCTGGTTGTAGGAATGCTAGGATCCTGTGAGATTTCTGTTTGCTGTAAATATTCTCCTCCTCCTTCCAATTATGAAATTCTCCAGGGCTTGAGCCCCAGTTTTGGGAGTGGGAGAAGTAATCAAGGCAGAATGCAATGACTGAACCACTAAGCATTGCAAACGTGCTGTCTCTCTCTTTCTCCCTCCTCCTTCCTCTGCGAGGTTAGCGCTCCAAGGAAAACAGGAGGAGACGCTTGCTATTCTGGAGCACCTAAGCATTACAAATAAGTTCCTTATGGCTTGCAAAAGCATGGTGCTAAGCACCATGCAACGTGGGCTGCATCTCTCACAATAGGAATGCTTAGAAGCTTCTGCAGAGCTCAAGTGGAAAATCAGGTTGCTTTGGAGTTTTGCAAAACCGAAGGCCTTATGCAGTGTCCTGAGTGCATTAAGAATACAGCTGACCCCTCTAACTGGGTTTGCCCATTCATAGATCTAATTCTAAAGTCTAAGCGGTATCTCTTTAATGTATTAGTAGCAATAAGAGCATAAACACATAGCTCATGCACAGCTGAGCCTTCCCTTTCCACCACCATATCCCCTTGCAGAGGACAGCATTATGCTGATTAACTTATATTGCCTCCAGCACAGGCGCTGGTCATGGTCACAGAACATGCACTGCAGCTGTAGGACCCAGATGCATCGCTGCCCTTGCTATGGCATGTGAATGCTACTTCCTCCTGACTAGTCCTATCTGGGGCTGTGGTTGGGTTCTTGTAGGACTGGTGAAGTAGCTGCATTGTCCTTTAGACTAGGAGACTAACTTCCTCTTGAGAGTGGTCAGTTTAGATGAGCTATTACTAGCAGGAGAGTGAGTTTGTGTGTGTATGGGGGTGGGGGGGATGTGAGAAAACCTGGATTTGTGCAGGAAATAGCCCGACTTGATTATGTAAAGAGTTGTCACTTTGGATGGGCTAGCACCAGCAGGAGAGTGAATTTGTGTGGGGGGGTGGAGGGTGAGAAAACCTGGATTTGTGCTGGAAATGGCCCACCTGATGATCACTTTAGATAAGCTATTACCAGCAGGACAGTGGGGTGGGAGGAGGTATTGTTTCATATTCTCTGTGTATATATAAAGTCTGCTACAGTTTCCACGGTATGCATCTGATGAAGTGAGCTGTAGCTCACGAAAGCTCATGCTCAAATAAATTGGTTAGTCTCTAAGGTGCCACAAGTACTCCTTTTCTTTTTCCTCTTAATTGTTAGGCTTCTCCTGTATAACCATCTGACTAAAGTTTTTTAGCTGTCCTCAGTCTCGCAGCTCCCCCGTTTGCCCTCCATTCACCCTGGGCCCTATAGAGAGAGTCAGACACACACACACACCCTTGCAACTTGCATACAGCAGGAACCGAATCCATTTTTGTTGGCACTGAATGCAGTAGAAACTCTTCTGAAAAACTTCCCACAACTAACTGTCAGGCAAGCTTTTAAATAACTTGGAGCATTGTTATCATGAAGTTGTTAAGCTAATTAAGAACCATTACTAAATAGTTACGGGTAAACAGATGGGTACATACAGTAACTCATTTTCAAATAAGGACATGATAAACTTGTAATTTTTTCCTTGAATAAAGAACATACACTCCACTAGAGAAAGTAGTGCAGGAATTTATCAGCACTACTGCAAATAATTTAGAAAGAGCTAAACTGCATGATGGAAAGGGATCCCTTGTGTTCTATTTAGGACTCTCTTAACAGGATGTGATTTCAAGTGGAGGATTTTAGTGTATGAGGCTCCAGTTCCAAACTCAACTTGGGCTGAGAGCCTCTTTGAAAGATAGGAACCTGAAACTGGGCTCCTAACTCAGTGGCCTGGTCTCTGAGTCTGCTGAGCAGCCAGCAGCTCCCACTGACTGCCATGGGAGCTGCTGGGTGCTCAGGACCCTTAATAAGTTCGCTCACTTAGTTCCTTCTGGCCTTTGAGTCCATGAAAAATAACTCTCCTGCAGCCAATGGATTTACACCAGTATGAAAGAATCGCTACCGGCGTGTGTGTATATATGCACGTTGAGGGGGAAAAATGAGATGTTTCCCAAACAAATACAACTGAACTGGCTGCTCAAGGCTTTGCCTTTGCCTTCACTGCTAAAAAAGGTGTGGAATTCCAGTGGAATAATGAAGGTATAGTAGCTATTGCTCTGTAAACTCTTAGTGGAGAGAAGGCTCTGTAGTTTTACCATGAGGTTAAGTAGGTGAGGTCAACCATGGGTAGGGCCATAGTGCTGACCTCACGTAAAACGACAGGAGCTTTGCTTCCACAGGATTTTACAGTGAGAGAACTATCCTGTGTTTGCAAAAAGAAAAGGAGGACTTGTGGCACCTTAGAGACTAACCAATTTATTTGAGCATGAGCTTTCGTGAGCTACAGCTCACTTCATCGGATGCATACCGATGAAAACTGCAGTTTCCACGGTATGCATCCGATGAAGTGAGCTGTAGCTCACGAAAGCTCATGCTCAGATAAATTGGTTAGTCTCTAAGGTGCCACAAGTACTCCTTTTCTTTTTGCGAATACAGACTAACATGGCTGTTACTCTGTATCCTGTGTTTATCTCACTATAACAAAAAATCCTCCACCACTAGTCTTCCTGCCCCAACAAGCTTCACTCAGGGTGAGAGGTGTCCTGTGTCTGTGAGGTAAGCTGGGAGGAATCTTATTGTTTTGTGAAACGAGTCAGCGTGATGTGCAAAAGAGGTAGGGCTGAAGCTGCATTATTCATAGAGGATCTTAAATATTTCAGTGAAAACAATCCAACGCTGATTTTGATTTTGTCCTTTCTTCCCCTACCATGACTACTTGGGTTTGGGGAGGGCAAAATGGGAATATGCTCTCGCTCCATACATGGGCTCTTGCAAATGTTTTGCAAAACTCCCAAAGTAAAATCAAGTTAATGGTTTTGCTAACCAAGCAGACCCCACTGTCTGTATGTAATAGTCTCTGAGAGAAATACAGTTAAGCTGTCGCCTCCTTGTTCAAGGCAGTCTTTAATTCTCTGTTTAGTGTTCTGGGAGAATGGCTGGTGAATGATTCAGTGCCTCACTTTGTTTTGAGATTCAGCAGCCGGGCTCTAATTTAAAAACACAAGCAAGAGGAAGACACAGGTAGAAGATGCATAGAGCAGAAATGACTGGTTGTGCTCTCCATGCCCCAAGAGTTGCTACCCTGTTAGTGCTCGCTTCCGTATCTTTCTCTTTTTCCTTTGGGCAATTTACCCAATCTGCAGAAACAAATCAGACAAAATTGCCCGTTCCCACATGGCAGCATAATATTGCACTATAATCACGTCTTGCAATATCTGAAGGAATCCAGTCAGAACACCAAAAGAAACTGACAGGTCAGCTAGTTAGAAAACCCTGCCTGCTGAGCTGCATGAAGCATAAGTCCTACCCTGCAGTGGCACAATTATCATGTTTAATTGTATTCGCTGCAAGGGAGATGGTGGCTCAGTTGCATAGATACACTGCTGCCATCACCTGGCAAAACACATACATTAGGGAACGCTCTCTCCACGACAATGAAAACAACGAGGAGTCCTTGTGGCACCTTAGAGGCTAACAAATTTACTTGGGCATAAGCTTTTGTGGGCTAAAACCCACTTCATCGGATGCATGCTAAATTTGTTAGTCTCTAAGGTGCCACAAGTGCTCCTCGTTGTTTTTGCTGATACAGACTAAAACGGCCACCTCTCTGAAACCTGACTCCACGACAGTGGGAATTAGCATTGAGATGTGCTGCAAACATCCAACAGCTGAACAAACACCCAGCACCATTGTTTTGTAATTGTTACATTGCCGATCGCTCTCTAAATGCAGTCGGAACAGTATTACAAACAGGGTATTCCATGTAGCAGAGATCTAGACCCCCTGGGCACGAATCAGTGTTACACACCAGGTTTCAGAGTAACAGCCGTGTTAGTCTGTATTCGCAAAAAGAAAAGGAGTACTTGTGGCACCTTAGAGACTAACCAATTTATTTGAGCATAAGCTTTCGTGAGCTACAGCTCACTTCATCGGATACACTGAAGTCAATTGAGTAATGCAGTGAGGATCAGGGCCCTTGCAAACAGGATGAAGCAAAGGCCAAACAGCCTTTGTAATTGGTCTCATTGGAGGTGAAGTCACAAGACTAGTGCATTCATATACTATGGACTTCTATTTACATAGCACCTGTACTGTCCGATGCATTTGCTATGCAGCCCTGAAAAGCAGACAGTCTGTCAACTTACAAAGTGCATGGACTTTTCAAGCTATTTAGTTTTAGGTCACTCATTTTCTTAGGTCATTGCCCCTCACAGTTCACCTTATTTGACACTTGCAGGGGAGACCACTATAATTATCCATGAAAGCGTTGGGCGCACAGCTGCCATCAGGACCTTGTGGACACTTATGCTAGGTAAAATATCACCCATTTTGCAATCCTCCTCCCCATTTTGAGAGTCTCTTGGGTGGTTTCATGAAGGAAAAAGTGAGATGTTTCACAATCCAATACCCACACTCATGCCCATGCTCCCAAAGACAGAGGTCTCTTGTTCTTCCCAGCAGAAATTGCTTTTCAATTCTGGAAAGAAACATACAAAAATATGCAGAAGAACAATTTGGACAGAGGGGAAAACTGGTTAAGAGAAAACTTCAAATGGGCAAACCCAGTTCCCCAAACCAAATCTCCACCCTATCTGATCAGGTACCTCTACCTTTGCC